GATTCACAAAATATGCATAGAAGACAGCTGAAGCTAGGGTTCCGGAATGATGTTCCATTGGAATATGATAAAGCTTTTACTGATTTTCACTGAAATGGAAGAGGAAAAAATAAAAAAGGAAAAAGCTGTGTATTGAGGGTGGGGAAACAGGATGTAAAGTTGTTAACATGTTTTTATCTTGGGAAAGTATATCTTTATTTTTGAGATTCTCTTTCTTATATTTTTAGTCTTCAAATGGCCTTTCATAAAACAGTAGTAGTAGATAGCAGTTGATTTATTTTTAATATCGGTCCCTAAAATGTGCTTTTGAACCTTTCCTGAAATCTAAAACTCTTGGGACCATTGTCTTAGCCTATTAATTTACTACACTTGCTAAATAGAATCTTAGCAGCCATAAGCTAAAATATTTGATTCTCAAGAAATCTGGTAAACCTTTTTAGAAACATGAAGATCAATGATCAGCATCACATAGCAAAGCAATGCTATTTAATCCAGTTGTAACTAATGTTTTAGAAAAAGAGAAATAAAAATATTTAAATGAATATGTTCCTCATGGCATATTTCATTCTAAGATGCTTTATTTGGTAAACATTTGAAAACCTGAGGCTACATTATCACAAACTTGTGAAAACTTTTGTGGCACAAATATAAAATCTTAATGTTTCATACTTAGCCTCTAAATTTAAAAATACTTATTTTAAAATATTTTTCAAAATTAGTTATTAATATTGGAATTAAGAAAGTCATGAAAACTGGTGGGATATATACCAGTATTTATTGTGGTTTTATCTAGGTAAAGGTATTATGGGAATTCTATAATTTTCAAATTTCCTAGCAATAAAAATATTCCTTTTATAATTATGAACCTCCAAATACTATTCAAAAAGTTGTGTTATAGGTCTTTGAGACTTTAAAAAGAAGAACTTTTAAGACATGGATACTGTTTGGTCAAGGTTTTTTGCCATTTTTGATCTATGATCTATAACAAGAAGCCATACATACCTATTAAATCTCAAAGCTGCCTCTTATGATAACTCTGCTTGTCATTGTAGTGGATTCATTGTAGCAGGATTCTGTAATCATTATTAAATCTTTTGCAAGTCATAATTTTCAATATCATAAATGATTACAGTTTGTTATAGAATAACATATTGTCTCCTATTTCCTGAGAGAAAAGCTATTTTTCTTTCCTTCCAAAGAGTTGAGAAAACAACCATAGTGTTTTCATTGTGAACCTGTAAGTAGAATAACATATTGTCTCCTATTTCCTGAGAGAAAAGCTATTTTTCTTTCCTTCCAAAGAGCTGAGAAAACAACCATAGTGTTTTCATTGTGAACCTGTAAACAGTAGTACACATGTTAATCATTATATTAGTCATAGAAATTAAACCGATTGTTTTATAATACAAAAATACTTAAAATTAGAGTAAAATTATTTTTAAAAAAGAAAATGACAATATAATCTATATCATTACTACTATGTTTTTTAGTCTTATAATGTTAAGAGATGTACTGGTTCTGTAGTATAATTCAGTCATAAACTGATAAAAGAAGGTATGTAAAGATTTTAAAGAAATGTGTAGGGGGGTAGTATTATTACATTTGGTGCTAGGTTCTGTGCTAACTCAGTGCCCTAGGAAATCGGTTTTACCAAGAGAATGTCAAAAGTTAGCCATGGGTGCTTGTGGATACTTTTGGTTTGTATGTTTGGACTTTTGTCAAATAGAGTGGATAGTCTCTTTATTAAAAAACAAAAACAAAAAAACTCAGGCTTGTGTGTGTAAGATCATAAGAAGAATATCGCTGTGATACAAGGTGATAAGAAGGCTGAAGTTAGAAGGGCTATTGTTTGAGAAGAAACTCCTGTGTTACACATTTCTACTTTTATTAGAGGTACCTTTGTTATGGTTAAATTAAGATTTTCTTACAAGAGGGTGTAAGATGATAACTCAGTAAGCAGGAATTTTTTTCTTTATGCAGAGCATTACTTTCTAGGTTAAATACATTTTATGGATATGTAGTTTAAGGATTTATTGTTATTACCTACCTCTGTAACATTTCACAGGTATTAGTAGAAGAAAGTTTTACTCGTAGTGGAATAGTAAACCCCATATTTTATATACTTTTGGCACCTGACTGAATTTTAACTCTCATTCTTACACTAGGAAATCATACTCTTGAAACTTAAATTATAAAAAAACTATCAGATCACACATTTTCTGTCACTTTTCTTGAATACCTCTTTATTCAGATAATTCAGCCAGATTTTAATTTTTCTACCAAAATGTAAAGTTAGTTTTAAGCCTCTTGCCAATGAAACAAGCTACCATTCTTGAAGAAACAACAACACCCAAATTAGTTCATTTTTAATGTAGATTTAAAAGGATTTTTAATATTATAAAGCATATTCTGAGAGTTTTGGTGAACTGTGACTAATTTATCTTTTAGAAAAAAGCCAATTAATATGGAGAATTCCTTGTCCCACATACCATTTTTCTTTTTGTTAATGCATTAAATGCTTTACTTCAGTGGTTATAATAAGTTCATCTATTCTTCCTACTGTAAGGGTATGTGATCATTCTTTCTAAATAATCTGGCCATTTGTAATATGACAAAAATAGCTTTTTGCAGCCATCTTTGAGCACAAACGAAGAGCCACATAGGGAACCAAAAAGCGTACTTTTGAAGTCATGAATTTTAAACAGGTTCAGTGTTATATTTGAAGCCGATCACAGTGCCTACATGACATTAGCAGGCATGACTTAATATTTTATTTAGTTTTGGAAACCCAAAGTGAACCACCAAAATCTGTTGCCAACTAAACTACTTATAACAACACCTCTGTGCTTATTTTTTTTTTTGACTCCCTCTTTTCCTAATACCCCCCCAAGTGTGGCTAGGCCAGAGAGAACATGATTGAGAATACAATGTGTTATGTAGTATACTTACCAGACCAGATGCTATTTCTTCCCCATCACTACTTGGTCAAAAATTCAACTCATTCACATATTCTTAAAGCTGGAAGTTGACCTTGGAGGTCTTTATATTCTCATTCAATGAAGAATTCACTCTGCAGTGACCCTGACAAATATTCATTCAACCAGCTGTGTACCCTGGATCAAGTTACTTCAGGGTCTGGGCCTCATTTTTTCATTTGCAAAATGGCAATAATTATAGTACCTATTTTAGAGAGAATAATTAATAGCAATGGCTAACATTTATTAAGTGTTCTCAATGTAAGTTTTCTAAATGTTTTATATGTATTATCTCATTTCATCAGAACATTTTGTGTGTGATCAATGATTGGATGATTGTATAAATTACCATCACATCTAATCACTGTGACCACATCAATAATACCAACAAGGTATGGCATTTGGATTTATTGTTTAAATCTGAATAATCAATTTCAAATATAGGTTAGTATTATAGATATCGTGCTGTAAAGATCTTCAGTGGTTTAAATATTGAAATTTTATCAGTTGAATAATAAACATTTGTAATTTTTAAAGTAAAATGCAATCATTGTTTATGAAAGCTCTTAATTTTAAACAATTTAATTTTAAATAATTAGGAAATAAATAGACAACTAATATAAATGTAAAAAGATAACTATTAGAAAAGAATGAAAGAGTAATAACTTGGCAGCAAAATTGCCCTTAGCAGTACCATAGCCAAAAAATATCTTCTACCTTTACCAACTTTAGTTGAAAGAGAGCATCTATATATCTTCAAAAATGTACAGTATAGAACACAAAATCTGACAGCTGATGCTGCTAAGAGATTTATTAATAATGTGAAACAAATTGAACAAGTAAAATGTTAATAAGAAAATTATAATAATATTATATATATTATAAATTGTCAGAGAGATTTATTAATAATGTGAAACAAATTGAACAAGTAAAATGTTAATAAGAAAATTATAATATTATATATATTATAAATTGTCAGGTTTATTCTTATATCCCAGAAATTGATTCTATGATGATTTTTGATTTGTGTCTCAGCTTAGCCTGAAAATTTCTCAGCCTTTAACTAAAATTTATATTTGATTCACCTCTTAATTATTCTGACCATCTTGACAGTACTATTGCCCAGCCTCCCTCTAACTCCTTTTTAGACAGTTATAACCAAATGTGTTTAAAGATATGACAGAGGAATTTAAAGCCAAGAATCTGGTTAGGATAATGAGAAATATGTGAAGCCTTCTTTTTCCCATCCATGCCATCATTTCAAGTGAATACAGTACTCAGAAGTAGCTACAACCTATGAGATAAGGACAGAGATAGATAGGTTCTGCTGTAGCTTGTGGTAATTTGCCTGTTTGTCCTTCAAAAACATTTCCAAGAATTTTCTCTGTGACAACTGTTACAAATATACCTATCAGTGAATAAGCCACAGTCTTGCTCCTCAGGAGTTCATGGTTGAAGCAAGAGACAATTGAAAGAAATAGTGACAACTAAATAAAATAACATCATTATTTTGTGGTTGGAATAAAATTAAATTCAATTTTGCTATTTATTTTCCATAGTAAACCATTTCAACAGTAAAAAGTACTTTAATAGTGCTCCCACCACCCTGCTCTGTGTTATCTAAACTAAAAGATTTAGCAAAAGATGTGATTTTAATGCTAACCACCTGTTCTTAGTGCCACAAATAATCATAGATGCAAGAACTCTTTGAAAGCTGAAGTCTGTCTGATTGCTTACCTAAATTCTGGCAATATTTAGATAACATTTAAATAAGAATTTGTGAAATTTAAACTTTTTCCAGTATTTGCCATTCCCATTAGTGATTGATAATCCAAACAGAGACTTCTTTAATGTATGCATTTAGTTGCTTTTTGTTGTTTATTTTATAAAATAATTCTGAACAGCTATTTTAATGTTCTCTCTGACCCAAATGAAGGCTCTCAAAATTCTCTTCTCGTGAGATAAAAAGCATTGCTATCTGAGTGCCAAGCTTATATAATAGCAGCTGACTGTTGTTTTCAATAGGAATATGATGAAGAATGGGCTAAGAAAATTCAGAGTGAAAAGTTTCGCTGGCATAACTCTCAATGGCTAGAGATGGTAGAGAGTCGACAGATGGATGAGAGTGAGCAGTACTTGTATGGTGATGATCGAATTGAGCCATACATCCATGAGGGAGATATTCTTGAAAGACCTGATCTTTTCTACAGTTCAGGTAAGGTGATAACCAAAGCAAAAATAAACAATTTGTGTACTATAAATACGGATTTTGGTCTGCCAACCTTGCACCTTCCCAAGTTTTGTAAGCACTTCTTTTGTATATAAATGCTCTTGGGCTGATGATTACAAATGTAACATCTGTACACAACAAGCAAACCTACTAATTCACCATAATTTTTTCCAAGTTAGTCTTTGATGTAATCTTTATAAAAAAGACTGCAGCCAGGAAAGTTAATTGCTCTTAAAAGTGTATTACTATCTAGAATAAACTGACAAATTCAAGGTTTCTGACTTCTGCTCAGACACGTAAAACACATATTCATTTTTCTTTATTCTGTGTTTATTAAATGTATAACTTATTAATTTATATTTTGTTTTTCAATGCATTTAATCTTAACAGTTTAATTTTGCCATAGTTTTGCTTTAATTTTAAACTACTAAACTCTATTTGGTGACTGTTGGGAAGATTTAGATACTTTATAGTAATAGATTTTTTCCTTCTAAACTCTGCTAGTGTTTTCAAGATAAAACTTAAGATTTACATAAATTTTACTTATATTGTAACCTTGTTGATTCTTCCATACTGCCTTTTTCCAGGGATGAGGTTGGTACAAAGATTGGTAAATTTTTGCATATTCTGGTTTTTAATGTTTTACACTGTTGGCAATATTAATATTACTTCATTGAAGTCATTTAGTGCAGGATAGAAAGGAAAGGATTTCTAATTAAAATTGTAGCAGGATTGAAATAAAAAACATTAAAGTAGTTATATTTAATTAACGACTCACCTTTTGGTTTGTTTTTCTACTGTGTATTCCTACTATATATTTGTGTTCTCAGTATAAAATTTCTAAATACTTTGCATGTATTATCTCATTTTATCAGAACAATTTGTGTATGATCAATGATTGGATGATTATAAAAATTATCATTCTGAAATTATTCTATTCTGAAATTCCCATCTAATCAGTGTAACCAAATCAATAACATTCACATAATCATTCATGAGTTTTCATAATTGTGTATTGTGCAAATTTCCCATAGATACTATGCATTATTTTTGTTTGATATATATACTTGAATCCTAGAAAATTTATGCTTTACTTTGAAAATTGAATAGATTTCTTCTTAACTGAACTTTACAGTAGTTCTGAAATGCTGCTTTGTGTTTCAAACCAGATGTAGTAGATAATTAATTTCAACCAACCAGAATTTCTTAGTTCAGTAATAGCAAGCAGCTGTTCCTTACATTTTCCGTATTCATGCAGTAAAATGATCCAAAATATATATAATACGAATTTTTTGTTATTAGAAATCAGAATAATCTCGGAATCAAATTTCTTGCTTTGAAGATTGATAACTACCTTTCAGCATAAATCAATTACCAGTTTTCAAAACCCAATAAAACTATTAACCACTTAGGTATTCAACTTTATTTTAATACAATTAAAATTTCAGAACAGATTTCTAAAAAGTTATACCACATTTCCGAAAGTAATTCACTTAATTTAACCTCTTAAAATGAAAATTGTAAATATTTTTCTGTGAGGTACTTTCAAATTTATAACTTACGCTTTTGTGAGAAAACTGAATTATGCATATTTTTATATACCAAAATTTAGAAACAGTAGTATCTGGTGGAAATAAGTTTAAGCATTTGAGGGGTGAAATATCATCATCAGATGTACTCATGCTTTTTTTTTTTTTTTAATACCCGTATCCTGATGATACGATAGACATTTGACAGTGGAAATTACATTCTGTAAGTTTAAAGATATAGTTCTTTTAGCAAGCCATCTATATATTTTTTTAGTTTATTATTTTACCTAGTTCATTTTCAATGAATAGTCCATGGACTAAGTGAATCTCTGTAACATTTCTTGATATGTTTCATGGAAATCAAAATAATGTCAGCCTCTTTTCTTTTATTGTGTACAATTGTATCTTCAGAAACATCAGATAAATTTGTAATACTTCAGATTTGTTTGAATGTTTGAGTCATCTTATTAAGCCCCTGGGTTTCTATGAAACATTAGGCTGCTTCTGATAAAAGCAGCTGTAGTAGCTTTTCAGCCACAGAGACTAAATTAAATGGCCAATAATTCCCTGGGTCTTATCTTTTACTTTGAAATGAAATGGCATTTGTTACTTCCTAGTCATTATCGCCCTCTGTATTTTCACACTATTAAATATCACTCAAGATGTATCTGTTTCTCCTTTGCTTTTCTTAAAAAAAGAATCTTAGCGTTGTCATATGAAATACAGGCAACTGGCACCTCCTTTAGTTATAGTACTTTTTCCTTAAGGTCTAAAATATTGTAATCACTGATTAATTTCCTTTGCTATCATGAAAATTAAGCTGTTTGCTTTATTCCTTTTACCCATACAGGAAGTATATTATAACTTATAAAGCTGCATTGCTACTACACATTTCTAAATGACTTTTTACTGTTTTTATTGTTCTTTATCAATTGTGGTAAATCTTAGTATGTGAATATACTTCTGGAATATGAAGCTTACAATAGTTTGTCTTGGGATCATTGTAAAAACCATAGTGTGGTTCTATGATGTGTCTTATATCAGGTTTAGCCAGATAAGTTAAGATTTATCCTTTTAGTCATTTCTTTTTCTCATTTCCTATATTACTGACATCTATTTGTCCAACACAGTCACAATTTCACTTTTATCTAGTTCACCAAAGAGCCCAATATTATATTTTTATTTGACATTAAGAAATAAAAATAAAGTTGATTTCAGTTACAATATATAAGATACTGAGTTTTTGTATTTTTTACTTTTATTCACAATGTTAATAAACCAGATTTTTAACTGACTTTCAGAAATCAGAAGGTTGATAAATTACCTATGCTAACAATAAATTTGCTTTGGTTTCTTCACTATTCCATGATATACCCCAGTTTGTTTGTAATTGTCTTTATTGTTGTTACTTTGAGTATGTCAAAAAGCTATTATATAACTATGGTCCAAACGGTTTCATATAATTTAATATTCTAAATGTGTATAATACTCTGCAGCTTACAGAGTTCTCTGGTGTGTATCATCTCGGTTTTCTATTTTTTTTCTGTCCATTTAAATGTTATGTGAAATTCTTTGGTTCCTTGTTGCCATCTTGGAAACAAGTTTAGAGTAGGAGATTAAGGACACTCTTGGATATATCTGGGGTTTGTAACCAAGAAGTATGATTCTTTTTTAGTATTTCCCTAAAAGAATTAATTTTGGATGCACAATGCTGAGAAACAAATAGATATTTCCAAAGAAGTTGAGGTGCTTGAGATGAGGCTCTAATGGAACTTTTATAAAACCTTATTCCAGTGAAGAGAGATTGCTCATATGTCAGGGCTGTGTAACTTTTGTCAAGCTGTAAAGAGCACCATAGAAGCTGCAGTTCACTGAATCAACTGCAGTGCCCTAAGATAATTAAAAATGAACTTCAGAAGTATGAATTTATTCTTTCTTATTCACATAAGATCAGGCTTATTATATTATTAAACTAGTTGTATTCTGCCTTTATAAAATTTCTGGCTGAATCTTTAAACTCAATCTTTAATTCGATCTCTATTTGATGATCTCCCAGTTTGTAGTTCCCTGTATTCTGTTTATCCTTTTTCTATTTATCGTTCCCTTTGAAGACAAACGGAGCTCTGAAGCAAAAAATAAGATGTTGAGAATTTGATCAGTTTTTTATTTAATTTCTTCCAAATCTGGCTCACTTTGCTAGGTCATGTTTCATAAATGTAAATTTTTTTTAACATAACTCTGGTATCTTCTCATTTTGTTGTATTTATACCTGAAATATTTCTGAGCTTTAAAATCTTTTATTTTACTGACATGCTGAATATCTTCTTTGCATTCATTTCAAAGTGTGGTATACATTTTATTTTGACATTTTACATAGTTTTGTTCCTCTAAAACTGGCAGATTTCTTAAACCCTGATCCTCAATTATTTGGTTTTAATTTAACAAAGAAACTTGTTGATATAAACTATATTTATGAAGATTTCTAATATAAGTTTAATTTTGGGCACTGAAATTTTCAAGCATTGCTTATTTAGAAATCCACTTATTTGATATATATAACTTTCTAATTATGTCACACAAATGAAACTGTCTGGATATAAAAATGTGAAATATACTAAAGTATTGCTGTTTACAGCACCATGCTATTTAATGCCTCTTTGCCTTTATTCAAGCAATTTCCTTAGCCTGGACCATCCTTACTGTCCCTCCCTACTTAACCTCACTTATCCTTTCCTTTGTCTGTCTTCTCCACAAGACTGTATGCTACTTGAAGGCAGAGACTTTTCTTATTCATTTCTGTACTAGTGTACTACCTAGCACATAGTAGATACTCAATAAAGCTTGAATTGTTGTGTTAAATTGTTGCGAAAAAAACACTTAAGTACATATGGTCCTCTGTTCATACTCCCATAGAGAATAGCATGTCGTGCTAACATTTCTTTTTTCCAGATTAAGTACACAGGTTTTTTTCTTATTGTGCTGCTCGATAGGGTACGTTTTGGTTTTTGTTTTGTTTTCTTATTCCCTACAAATATATTTTACCAGTTACCATTTTCCTTCTTTCTAGATGGATTAATTGCCTCTGAAGGAGCCATAAGTCCAGATTTCTTTAATGATTATCACCTTCAAAACGGAGATGTAGTTGGGCAGCATTCATTTCCTGGAAGGTAAACAGTATTCCAAGAAATGTATGGTATTTCTTTGTTTTTGAAAGCTAGAATTTTCCTCATTCCTCATTTCTCTATCTTTTTCATTTAGGGGAGGAAAAAAACCTCAATCTTTTCAAGAACATGTTTGTTTGATTTTAAATTAACTTATGTAGTCACTTTTCCTATGGGGAAAAAAATGGAGATCATAGATCTGAAAAAAAATGTGCTTCATCACTTTGGAAAATACAGACTGTCTATTAAAATAGACAATACTTTTGCCAAATTATGAACACAGATTGTTTCCTGAGTTCTTTCCAAAGCCAATAAAATGTAAAATGAGAACACAAGACATGTATTTTAACAATTACTCAGACATCTCTGTTTTCAAAAGTTGATGTTTTTATTAAATTGAAGACTTTTCCTACCTAGATGACATGCGAGTGAAATATTTAGGGAAAAAAAAAAATCTGACAGGCCTGTATTGTTATACAATTATAATAAAGTTCCCCACAACAGATATCCAGCTTCATTACTAATGATGTCACAGATTTTTAAAATCTTGCTAGAAAGTGCAAACAATATTTTTCTCTTTATATTATTCCTAGAGTTGTAATATTTTTAATTTAGGTTGACTGTTGAAATTTCACATTAAGCTAGTCCAATGAATAGGTACAGTCTTATTTTCCCTTAAGCCTATTTTTTTTTCCTTTAAATTATTGATTTAATTCCCTCTCCTAAAATTCTACTTTTCATTAGCATAAGTTATTTTCCATTTGGGAAATATGTTTGTGTATTTTTTAAATTAACAATACAATTGTGACCAATATGCTATAACTCTTAAATAATCACTTGCAATAAATGATTTTAATCCAATAATAATTATAATAATTTCAATCATTATTGATAATCTATTGTGGATAATCGATTTTTAAAATATTCGTCTTATTTATTTTAACCTGTACAGCAACATTTTAAAGCATATATTATTGTATCCATTTTACAGATGAAGAAATCAAGGCTCTAAAACTTTAAGTAACCAACTCACATAAGTAGAATGATAGAGCAAAAATATGAACTCAGGTCTATGTGTCACCAAAGCTTATGTTCGTTCCAGTACAACATGCTGCCTGATTTGGAGAAAACAAAACATACTACAGTGACTTTTGAGCTTTTTTGTTTGTTTGTTTGTTTCCTTTTTGTCTTTTTTCGTGACCGGCAACGGATCGCAACCCTCAGTGTCGCGCCCATACCGGACCGGGCCCGGCAACGGAATCGCAACCCTCAGTGTTGCGCCCGCACCTCGCTCAGCCAGTGAGCGGCCGGTCTGTATATGGGATCCGAACCCTCGGCGGGAGTGCCGCCGCACTCCCAAGCGGCGCACTGTAGCAGTGCGCCACTGTGTCGGCCCAACTTTTGAGCTTTTTTGACCACAATCCATATTAAAAGAAATCCCTTTCATATTGCAACCAAGTGTTCACATTCATATTTGTTTATATACATGTATCTACCTATATACATATATGTAAAACAAAAATTTCTTAAAATGTTACTTGCTCTTACTACCTGTAATACACAATGATATGTTGTTTTAGTCTATTCATTTTTTTAAATGCAGATTACAAACCATTAAGCTGATTTCACAACTCACTGATTATCATGATGCAAAGTTTAAAAGCATTGTAAAATAACATAGGAGTATTGCGTGAAATGCAATAACAATATGTGTAGTTCAGTTTTCTGTAGTGGACTTTAAATAAATAACCCTTTAAAAATAGTTTCAGCGGGGTACTGAATTGTCATAGTAAGAAACTCCTTGCATTAGGAAATAAGGCTAAACATGGTTAAATACTAGAAAACATATGGCTTTTGATTATTTCTGATGCTTGTGGCTATATTAGCTATAATTATTTAGATAGAGGCTCTGTTTAATCATTATAAATACTATCCTCTATCATGTGACAATTCACTGTACAAATGTTTTCTGAAACATAATTGGAAAAGGAAGAAATGATTTGGATATGTGATCCTAATATTTATTTCAAGGAATTTTGCTTATAGCATTTAAAAGATTAATTTTTCTGCCATTTATGTTTCACTATGAGCAAAATATCATTTTTATATCTCCTGCAGATGCTGCCAATCTAAAGATTTAAGTATTTTATATTGCTACATAATGCTAATCATGTATTACTTATTTGAGAAAGTAATTATTTGCTTTTATATATATATATAATTATGTGACTTTTAAGGTACTAAACATTTTCACTAAAACTGAATATACAAAAAACATAATGCTAATCATGTATTACTTATTTGAGAAAGTAATTATTTGCTTTTATATATATATAATTATGTGACTTTTAAGGTACTAAACATTTTCACTAAAACTGAATATACAAAAAAATGATCTTATGAGCTCAATTCAGCCAAATCTCTCATTTCTGGTTTTCAAAAATGGTCATTTTATAAAACAATAAAGTTTTGAGAGATAGATAGATTCAATGACAAAGATTTCACGATTTCATTCCGAAGGATTTCATTCCTTAGTTAATATTTTTTTTAAAAAAATGGTTTTTGGAAAATCCTTTAACTTCGTTGCTCATTTTTTTTCTAAGGGTAAAAATGTTTAATAGCTTCTTTTACTTCATAGAAGACACATCACAGTAATGTTGACTTAGAAGATCAGTTACTAAAACATACTGCAGGTTATTTTTCAAATCAAAAGAGTAATATACATATTTATTAAAATTATTTTGATTTGAGAATTGTTTGCCCTTTAGGAAGAACTTCCCCTGAGAAAGTCAAGTCTTTCATCTCTTGTCTTTTGTAATTTTTCAGGTCTTAAGTCACATTACTGTATCACTTTTTCCATTTTATTTCCAGAAGAAATAATTTACAATGAATTTCCTCAATTTTTCTTTGTAGGTAATAGATCAAATGAAAAGGGACTGTAAATTATGTCAGAAGAGATAGAAAGTATATAGTATAGCCAAAGATTCATAGCTCTTTTCCACATTCCATTTTGTTGACCTACTTTGCAATCATTTACTTTTTTTCTTTTATTCAATCATTTTTCATTGGTTAGGATTCTCCTTCTTATAGGACTTCTATGTTCTTCTTTGAGAGTACCAACCCATATATGTTAACTCTGGCATATTTGTTAATTCCACAAAAATTTAAGTATTTTATATTGGTACATAATTATTCACATATTTTGGTATGATAGTTTTGCTACATAATGTCCCAGATGTGAAATTTTAAACTAGTGGCTACCTTTCAGCCTCTGATATCCAATAGTTAAGTTTAAAGCTCATTAGATTAAATAACTGACTCGAAACACTGTTTATGAAATTTTTCATTTTAATTGATTTAAACACAATAGTACTTTTTAAGAAATCCAGGTTCATGAAATAGAAGTTATTGAACTATCTTTATCTCCACTGTGAATATAAGAATAAGCAGACTTAATGGACAACATGAAGAATTTAAGTTAATTACAAAAGAATTATATCTTAATTGAATTTTAAATATTGAAAAAGCTGATACTCTAAGTACCTTTAAAAAGAGGAAATGTTATCTATTTGGAGTTTTTTTGGTTCTTTTTTTCCTTCTTTATATCAAGGAAATAGTCCAGATGACTTATGAATTCTTTTCCTGCTCCTTTATCATATGTCTTTGATAAATAAGCACTATTAAGTTATCTGGAAAAAGACTAAGAAAAGATTAATGTATAAAAGGTGAATTTTTATCATTACCAGTGTTTTTAATTATTTGAGTGACAATAATATGTGTGATGAAACTTGAAACAAAATATGACAGTGCCAATTGGCGTACCCTTCAGCCAGCTTTCATAGCTTTTCAGTCTTTGTTGTTATTTCAACATTTCAGTTTGAGTGGATTCATGTAAAGTAGATGATCCCAAGTTTCTGCAAGGTAAAGAATAAATTGCTAATTTGTTTGACACAAAGAGTTTTTTATTTGTTCAAAGAAAAATTCTTCATTTCTTCCTAAAATGACAATTTATTAATAGGACAAATGTGTTAAAATCTGAGAAACTAAGCCAGATTTAGAGAAGTGTTTAAACAGTTCAAATTGGTATTTTTCTTAAAATTCAAGTCAGGGGGTCCTTCTTAACCTAATGCCTGCATTTTTGTAACGTAGCAAAGCAGTTTAATTGGAAACAGTGAAAACTGTTAAACTCATCTATACCATTCTTCAAGAGAGACTGGATGTTTGATAAAATAGGTACTGGCATTTGGACAGCGAATCCTGGGTTTTAGACACGTGTCACTATCGGTTTGAACCACTTGGCGCCAGGATTTCCCGACATTTAGAGCTAATGCAAAATGCATTAGGGCTCCAGAGTATTAGCTATGGAGTTGCCAATCCCAGAGCGTCAAATGTAAATCTTCCCCTCCCCAAATCTGAACTGGTGTTAGAAAGTGAAGTGGAACTTGCTATTGAAGCTAATTAAAAATAATAGGAGCAAGACTAGCATTTTTCCCTGTTATATACCATGTATCCACACCATATTTTTGGGCCGTTTTTTTATTATAACTCTTACTTTTCAAGACTAACAAGAACCTCATGTTAAGAATATTTTTAAACTGCTTCCAGCTTTTACAAATCAGTTTTTGTTGCAGTAAAAATGGTCCATTTTTCTTTTATAGGAATCCAATTTTCATAAACTGGAAAAAAAAATTGCAGGACTGCTTAGGTTTCCTTGGGGCTTTGAAAAATATTTTTCAGAGAGCCTGGAGTTTTTCTTTGTGGTTGGCACAGTGATGTCATTTACTGACCATTTCGCTGGAGTCAAAAATGAACTAGATGTGTGCATTATCTGAGCCATCTGATTCTTACACTTTCATTTTCTGTGTGTGTCATAGCCTGCTTCTTTTTTTTCTTTCTTTGAATACGTTAATATTAACTTTTTTTGCATTATGTGCATTAAATATTACAAATACCTTTTATGTTTATATACCTTTTAATATTATATACCTTTTATTCTAGTCTCTCTA